ACCAAAACCATAATTATTGCTCTGAACTTCTGCTGGAGCAATAAAAGAGGTTAAGAGCCAGTGATTGAGCCTCTATTGCTTGTTTTCCCTGACATATAGTATTCTGTAGAAGACATACAAAATAAGATGATAACTGAAAAGAGAGAGTCCTAACATTTCTGTATTTTCAAGGCAAAATTTCATCCCGCCTTGCCTCTGCCATCTGGGAGAGCCAGCCCTTTGTCAGGCTGCCACCAGCCTCATTTGCATTTCTGTCTGCTGAGCCCAGCCCTTCCCTAAGAAATACTTTGGGGCCACCTTCAATAATTTATGGGAGCAAATGTCTTGTCCTGATCTATGGAAAACTGTGACAGGCTCTGGAATTACAAGATGAAGGTGTCATAGGGCTTCCCGGATCCAATCATCTGTTTGCTATTTAGAATGACTTGGCTACAGCAGCCCGACCTATGAGTTCATCTGGCAACCGGCTGGAGCACAGAAAGCAGCCAGGCTGAGCCAAAGAACAAAAAGTACACATCTCCTCGTCTGTGATTTCAGCTCTGTCTGGATCAAATGGAGGCTAACACAGTGATCAGCACACAAGGAAGAAGACGAGAGAGTCTTTGGAGCTGTTGACTCAATTTAATTTTTTTCTCACCTGAATACTAAGAGAACTTTCACCTATTTTATTTACGTTTTCATTTTTTCAAATTCAGGCCAGAAGCTAAACACAATTGGAAACCACTAAGCTAGTTTTACCCCTTTTTGTTATGGTTTCTTTTACTTCTTTGTCCTTTTATTTGGGGACGAGGGCTGCTGGGCATTGAACCCAGAGCCCGAGTGTAAGTACGTCCTCTGCCTCCAGCCCTTGCTCACTCCCCAGCTTCTACCCTTTTCAGATTTCACTTTTATTTTATCTCACTTTCTGAAGACATTTATAACTGAAATGTTTTCTTCCCTTTTTTGTTATATATGTTTCTGATGCATAATAAATACATTCATCATGGGGAATTGTTATGTAAACATACTGTGTCTTGCGTCTTTTTAGTTCTCCTCTCCTGACTCCTCTATCTACAGTCTACCCTTTCAGTCTCTACAGTCTATCTTCCTATATCCTATCTTCCATCTTTTATTTCTAAAATATTTATAACTTGAGAATCTCATGTAAGAGAATTCATGCAATATTTAGCCTTCCAAGTCTGATTTATTTCATTTAGCATTATGGTCTCAAAATAATTTTGTGATGAATGACTCAGATTTATCCTTCTTCGTGGCTAAGTGGTACTCCATTCTGTATATATACATAACATTTTCTTTATCCATTCATCTGTTGCTGGTCAGTTGGGATGATTCTATCATCTAGCTACTATGAGTTGTGCAGCTATAAACATGAATATGTATGTATTATAGCAATATGATGTCTTTAACCTTTGCAGGAAGATTCCCAGAAGAATTACAGACAGATCAAATGGACCCACACTTTCAGTTTTCTGAGGAATCTCAGATTGATTTCCATAGTGGTTGCACTAGTTTACATTCCTATAAAAGGGTTCCTTCACCCCCTGACATCCTCAGCACTGTTTTTTCATTTGTGATGACAGTCATTTTTCTGGAATAAGATGTTTATATTTGCATTTGTCTATTGGCCAGTGAGGCCAAGCACTTTTTCAAATACCAATTGGCCATTTGTACTTTTTTTCAGAAGTGTCTACTCATTTCAGTTGCCCATTTTTGGATTGGGTCCTTTTTAAATTTATTTTTTGCTTTTTGGTACTGGGAATCAAACTTCAACCTCATGCTTATCAGGCAAGCACTTGAGCTGCTGAGTTAAATCTCCAGCCCCCAGATAGGGTCTTTTATTTTTGTGTCTGTTTGAGTTCTTTATGTATTGTAGATATTAGTCCTTGGTCTGAGAAGTAAGTAGCAGAATTTTTTCCCATTCTACAGGTTGTCTCTTCACTCTAATGGCTTCTTTAGATTTGTAGAGGCATTTTAATGTAATATAATTCCATTTGTTGATTTTTGGTGTTATTTCTTGTGTAACTAGGGTTCTGTTCATCTGATGATACTCTTGATGATGGAGATGTGGACATCTTCAAGAGTGTCACCTACTTTTTCTTCCAGGGGATTCAATGCTTCTGTTTTTATATATAACTCTTAATGTATCTTGATTTGATGGACATTGCAGGATGATATATACAGTTTTAGATTTATTTTTCTACATCTGGATAACCAGTTTTCACTTGATCTTAGCCAAAAGGCCGAGAAGTGATGGATAATTAATTTTCCCACAACCATTTGTTAAAGAGTCTATCTTTTCACCAGTACTTTTTTTTGGCCCATTTGTCAAAGATCAGACAGCTGAAGGTATCTGGGATTGGTTGTACATCTTCAGTTCTGTACCACTGATAAATGTCTATTTTTGTGCCAGTATTCATACTTTTTTTTTAAATCATGGTAGTTTTATAATATTATTTGAAATCCAGGACTCTGATGCCTCCTGCTTTGCTTTCCTTTACCTAGGATTGATTTTGCTATTCTGGGTCTCTTCTTGCTCCATTAAAATTTTAGGAATATTTTTTCTAGTACTGTGAAGAATGATGGCATTGCTTCAAATCCATATATCAATTATGGTAAATTTGCCACTTTGACATAATTATTTCTGCCTGTACAGGGGTACTCTCTATTTCCTGATGTCAATTAGCTTTTTCAGAATACTATAGTTCTCATTACAGAGGTCTTTCATTTTCATAATTATGTTAGTTCCTAAGTAATAAACTTATTTTTGAAGCTGTATAAATATGGTGGGTTTTTTTACTTCTTTTTTTCAATGGGTTCATTGTTTGCACATAGGAATATTACTGGTTTTTGTGTATTGATTTTGCATCTGCCTTCTTTGCTAAATTTATTAATTCTAGGTATCTTTTGGTGGAGAGTTTTGAGTCTTCTATGTAAAGGAATAAGGATAGTTTGTTTATTCCTTTCATATACTAATCTGTTTTATTTCTTTTCCTTGCCTTATTGCTCCAACTAAAATTTGAGTACTATATTGAACTGGAGTAGTAAGAGTAGACTTTGTCTTCTTTATGATTGAAATTCAACTGTAAGATCCTCCTTGCCAGATTGTTTTGATTGCTTTTGGTTGTTTCTTCCTTAAACATTGCCTTGTAAGCTGGTGTGATACTAATAAAGTTGCTGCACTCATTACAGAGCTTACTTTGCATATTACTACAAAGACTTCCAGAATATTTTAAGTAGGTTTTGCCTGAAATATATGTTATCTAAGATATAGAGTGGATTCATGCAGCAAATAAAAATTATGTTCATCCATGATAAGAATCAGAAGACATTTAAAAACTCAACAAATCCAATCTTTTAATTACACAGATGAGAAAACTTGCCCAGAAAGTTCAAGCAACTTATATTCCCTGTAGTTTGGAGCCAAATATATGAGGCAGATAAAACTATGGAAGTATGAAAAGTTGTGTGCACACTATAATTTCTTGAGAAACCAGTTTGGTAGTTGGATACTAACCACCTGAACAAAGTCCAGTGAACACGTCAATCACACAATATAACCAGCTGTGAATCTGGGAGTTTCATTTCCTCTCTGCTTGGGCTGAATGCTAGTTTCCTAGAAAGACTTCTACCAAAGATAAAAGTATATGATTCTCTTGCATTTACAATTCTGGAGAAATCTAATCAACTTTCCAAGACACAGAACATCAATTACTACAGACAATAGCTTTTTTTTTTTTTTTTTATGGAACACAGAGTAGTGACTGGACCTTTTGAAGGAGAGATAAAGGAGAAATTGAGGCGAGCTCCTCAGTTGGGTTTTTTAAAATTGATTAGAGGATGTAGAGTTTTAGAAGATGGAGACCTGGAGTTGGGTGAATGTAAGTCTGTGTCAGAAGGCACACATCCAGGAACAGGGAAGCTTGAAGTCTTTTCTGAGAGTTTCTCAGATGATTACCTATGATCTGAGCAATTCAGAGGCTGTAGGGTGCTGGGGAAGCAATCATCAGATGCCTACTATGGATCTGCATCGAGTGACAATTTTGTTCATTGAGTATCTTTATAAATATGAAGCAAAAGGGAAGTCCCTCACGTCAGAGGTGGGAACAGGAACCTAATGAAACGTGATATCCTAATAAATCCCACAGGCTCTGGAGCTGAAGGCAACTCGAGTTCACATGTTATCTCAAAGACTCTGCCTGCAAAGCTATCTCCTGCACTGCATTGGCAAGGAACAAAGTCACGATAAGAATTAAAATGCAACAAAAGGAGTACATGATGAAAACATTCGCTTTCATTAGGTCCAATTTAGAAATGTGTATTTTGACATGGAAGCTTCCCTTTCCTCTTGTAGATTTCTATGCTGTATTTTTTATCTGTCATTTTTTCTCTAATTTCTTATAGTAAGCACTCAGTGTCACTAGAAACTTTTATTTTGATACATTTTTAACCTTGCAGGAAAGTTGTAGAAATGGGTTCCCAAATTCTTTTCACCCAGATGCATTCTATACTCATATTGTGCTTTCACTGCTTTACTGTTCTCTCTCCCTCTTGTTAACTGAATCTCCTAAGAGAAGCTTGTAGACATTTACTCCTAAAATCTCCAATGTACTATTACCATGCAAAAATTTTTTAATAAGCTACAAGGCTGGCCTTCATTTCTCTATCTTACTGCTTCAGCTTCCTGAGGAGTTAGCATTACAGGTATATAGCCACCATATCCAGTCACTGTATAATTCATAATATCAAAAACACTGCCTTATAAAACCACAGAATTTAACATTGAAAAAAATGAAGAAAAAAAACCAATATGCCCACAACACAATAAAAATCATATCTGATCATTAATCTACTTTTAATACAGAAAATACCACGCTTTATTTCAAATATAGCTTTCGTTATATGCCACAGATTTGGGATTAAGTAAATACATTGGATTTTAGGTATAAGTACTGTTTTATAATGGAGAAAATGAGACCAAAAACAATATGATGTTTGGTTACCTTTTGTTTCATCAATTGCTGTATAGCTTATTGAGAAGCCTTCATAAGCGAGGTCAGAATCAGCCACAAATCTCAGCATTAGTGAGTTGGTTCTGCTGGTAAGGGAGGGTGGGATGGACTTTCCACAGTATCTATACCAAACCAAGACAGAACAGATAAACTGATTTTCAATTTATCGTATATTTGAAATGAAGTAACAGATATTTAGACAAGTAAATATGACAATGGGTTTTGTTATCTATCTCCCATCAATCTTAAAAGAAAACATTCTTCAGGCAAAAACATTTACAAAGTTACTCAACACAATCATAATGTTCATGATTAATTTGCTGAGAAATGGTTTTGTCTGTATCTGATTGTGACTTAGCATGTATGAGGATTTTGATTAAATTAGGAAGTATAAGCTATACTACATTTTCATATAGCATATTAATGAACTTACAGAAATGTGATAAACATGAGCAACAAAGGGAAACAATAGATCTTATACTCAAAAAACCCAGGAATGATGGGGTACAACTATAATCTCAGTGCTCTGGGGAGCTGAGACAGGAGGATGGCAAACTCAGATCCAGTCGAGGCAACTTAGTGACTTAGGGAGACCACGTCTGAAATATTTTTTATTAAAAGGCTCTGGATGTAATTCAGTGAAAAGGCCCTGAGTTCAATCCCCAGTATACAGAAAAAAATTTTTAACAAATAAACTTATAGAACAAAGAGTCAGCTCTATTAGTTAAAGGTGCTGTGGCCATGGGAAGTCATGCAATCTCAGTGCCTCATTTTGTCCATCTCTAAAACAACAGGTTGATAATCCCTACTTCACAGTCATTCTGGAAAATTTGATCCATTAAAATGCTGAATATGAAACACTTAGACCAGTGCTTGTAAAATTAATTCCTACATAGATGAAATCTATTGCCTTTAAACAGATGACCTACGACAAAGCAAGACTTTAATTGCTAAGCCATGGCACATTTTTGCTGAACAAAAGCAGTTGTGCACAGATGCAATACTGTATTATTGACAAAAGTAAGGCTGCAATAAAATGAGATTTTTAGCTAGAGAGAAACCTTTTGTGAAGAAAGAAGAGAAAACAATCTGAATAAACTTGATTATTCAGATTAGACAAGTGGAATTAGACAAGTGGAATGACAGAGAAAAACAATATAAAAATCAAAAGAAAAAATACTAAATTTTAAAAATGGGTGGTTTAATTGTTACTGGAAAAAAGAAAACTTAGTGTAAAGTTTTACTACTTAAAAAATGTTTGCCATCTTAATCAAAATAAAGGTCAATAACTAAACAAATCTTTGCATGTATGTAGCTATATCTACTACAGAGGAGCAAGATAATTACAAAAATTATATATTTTGCAGTGGTTACATACCTCTCCAAGAAAAATATTTTAAATGGAAAACAAAAACAAAACACACAGAGGGAGAATAAAATCAGAAGAAAAAAATTAAGAAAATAAAATTTTTTAAAGTTCATGAAAAAGTATAGACAATGCAAAAAGGAGAAATTAAAAAGCAAACAGGACAGTTTCCAACAAAGATACAATAATGAGGTCTAGATTTAACTTTGCATCTGAAAAAACTCAAATTCAGGACAAAATATATTTTTAAAAATAATTTTCATGACATCAGAGATGAAGTAATGAAGGACACCAGACCTGCAGGGACAGGAAACAAATGGGTCCTAGAGTAACACTGGAGGAATGAAGCAACTGAACTGCAGTTCAGGACAAAGCTCAAGAATACGTATAGGAATATCCTTACGTCTAACGCCAAAAACCTACCAATATTACCAGGCATAAAAAGAAGTAAGAAAGTGTAATTCATAATGACAGGGAAAGTAAATCAATTAAAACCCAGCAAGAAATCGTACATGCCTGAATTAGTAGATAGAGATATTAAAATATTTATAACTGTTTCCCATAAACTCAAAAACTTAAAGGGAAAATTAATGTATATAGATATGGAATATATATTCACACATTGCGTAGTGCTAGGAAAACTGAGTATACGCAAAAGATGAAATTAGATTCTCACCTCTCACTATGCAAAAGAACTCAAAATGGGAAAGACTTAAATATAAAACCTGAAACTATGAATCTACTAGAAGTTGTCACAGGAGAAAAGTATCATAACATTGATCTGGGCAAGGGTTTTTATGGATAAGACCTCAAAAGTACAGGCAACAAAAACAAAAATTGATAAATCAAATTATATGAAACCATACATCATCTGCACGGTAAACAAAACGATCGATACAGTAAAGAGACACCCTACAGAATTGGATATAAGACCTGAAAACTCTGTACCTGACAAGTTATAGTCAAAATATATAAAAAATTCAAAGAACTCAAAAGCAAATAACCTGATTTTTTAAAAATAGACAAAAAGACTAAATAGACATTCCTCCAAAGGAGACACAGAAATGGCCAACAAGCATTTGAAAAGTCAGCCAGCATCATTAGTGAAGGACATACAGATCAAAACCACAGTGAGATATCACCTCACTGTTAAAATGATTATTATAAAAATAAGACAAGTATTGATGAGGATGTGGAAAGAGAACCCACACACGCTGTTAACAGGAATATAAATTAGCACAACCATTATGAAAAACAATATAGAGGTCTGTCAAAAATTAAAAACAACATTATCATACAATCCAGCAACCCCAGTACTGATTGTATATGTGAAGAAAGTGAAATCATTATGCTGAACAGATGTCTGCCCTATAGTGTCCACTGCAGTATTATATACAATGGCCAAGACATGGCAAAAGATAATGTGGCATAAATATATACAATGAAATAATATTCAGCCGTTTTATGGCTGAAATCCTATCATTTGCTTTGATGTGTTTAAATTTCGAGGGCATCATATTAAATGAAATAAACTAGTCACAGAAAGGTAAGTACCACATAATTTCACTTATATATAGAATGTAAAAAAGATTAATCTCACATAAGTAGACCTTATAATAATACAGTATTTATCAGAAGTTATCGTGTTCAGTTGGAGGGGTAAAAATAACCAGATGTTAATTAAAGAATACATAATTTCAGCCGGAGCTGGGTAAGGTGGCACTTGCCTGTAATCCCCACCTCTTGGGAGGTCAAAGGGGAGGACTGACATGAATTTGAGGCCAGTCTGAGGTACACAGTGAGTTCAAGCCTAGACTAATCTGTGTAGCAAGATCCTATCTCAAAAAACCTAACAAGACAAAACATCCAGAAATAAAACAACAAAAGAACTCATTTCAAAAGGAGAAATAAATTTCTCAAAGTTGGTGGTCCAGTGAAATGACTCTAGTTAACAGTGGTATAATATCTAATTTAAAACATGCAGAGTGGATATTTTAAGCTATTACCACTAAACATATCTAGTATGTGAGATAATGCATTTGTTAACGAGCTAGACTTAACCGCTCCACAATGCACATATACTTTAAAATATGATGTTCAAGATAAACATATATGGTCAATTTTTAAACAAAGAAATCAACAGGAAATGGTGGGAAGGGTGATTTTGTCCCTTTCTATACAAAAATCAATAAAACGATAAATAAGCCTCCAAATACAGCACAAAAAAAGCAAAATAAAATAACCTCACCTCCCAAGATAAGTCCCAGAGCCAGTATCACGAACTTCTAGGTAGTCACTTGTACAATTGTAATGAAATTCCAGATGAAATTCATCAAACACCAAACGAATCAGGTGATGAGGCTGGACTAATATATTCCAGGTACAGTTAACACCACTGGGGTAAATATTTGGGTGGCCAGGACTTTTAATGATTCCAGATGACTCGGTAAGAGTTTTTCCACATACTGTTAAAATAAAAATAATGACACTTATCAAATCAGCTAACCAACAAGCTACCTGTTGGTTGATTTCAAAATAAAATATGCCAATTATTCCTCCTTAAAACCTCAAAGGAAAAATGTTATTTTTATCTGCCACGTAAGTATAACTTAGCTTTTCTTTTACTAATATATACAAGATAACTATTTATATATGTTGATTGAAAATGTACACTTTGTCTAAGTGTTCTTTAATTCTTCATAATGTAGGTAAATTTTATATAATTTATTTCTATTGTTCATTTATTCTGATATGAGCATAAATGGAGGAGAAAGAGACCATCTCTTACCCAAATCCTGAGAACCAAACACAGCCATAAAACCATGATTTTCAGGAGAAGAACTCTTCACAGATGTGACATAAAGAATGTTGTACACAGATGTTATAAATGAAGGGGTCGTTGTACCACAGTACTTTATATTTTCAGGAGAACCCAAAACAGAACTGCTACCAATCTGAAGCAAAACATATATATTGTTTATTTTGTTAGACATTTATTTTGGAAAGTTACTTTGAGTATAGTTATGCATGAAGTATTTATATTAATCTAGTAAAAATCAAATAGATAATATCCTAGTTGCCTCATGAGAAATCCATGCCCATTACGACTCATTCTCTGTTTCCTGGAAATAAGAGCCATAGCCAGCAAATATGTAATTCTCTGTTCTGATAAGTTATCTATTCTGGACAAATGGAATCATACAATGTGCAATATTTTGCTTCTAGCTTCTTTTATGTCCTGTGTTTTTTCCAGGTTCAGCTATGTTGGAGCACATATCAATACTTCATCCCCTTTTAATGCCATACGGTATTTCACTGTATGGATATACTTTGTTTTAATTATTCATTCATCAGTCGATGGGAATTTGTTTCTATTTAAAAATCATGAATAATGTTATGGTTTAGATGTAGAATGTAGACAACGTAAAATTCTCATGTGCTTAAAGTGGGGCCTTTGGAAGGTGATAGGATGATGATGGTGGCTCTCCATTGATCAGTGGATAATCGGTAGCTGAACAAGCTCTCTGGAGGTGGGGCATGACCTTGCTCCCCCTTTTGCTCACTGTTTCCTGACCTCCTGACCACGAGTGCCTTGCTTTTTTCTGTCATACTCCATTACCAGGTCATTTCTCCTTTGAAGTCTGCCAATCATTGATTGAACCCACTGAAACCATAAACCAAAATAAACATCTCTTTCTTTTAAGTTACAAAGGCTGGATATGAGAGAGTAAAATAATTGTTTTATTTGCTATTTGCATATTTCACCACGAATAATGAATTCTGTCAGTGTTTCTTGTAGTCTTGTTATAAGGCTTCTTTCATAGGGTATATTCCTTGATGCCTATTGTTTTAATGCTACTATAAATTAGTTTCCTTGAGTTTTCATTTTCAAATTATTCATTGCTACTATATTAAAAAGAAATAATTGTCAAATTTTGATTTTATAACCTGCAACCTTCTGGATTTATTAGTTGTAATAGTTCTTTTAATGTGTATGGATTCCTTGTGAATTTCTATATAATGAGTATGCAATCTGTGAATAGAGACAGTTTCATTTCTATCTATGCAAAGTACATTTTATTTCTTTTCCTTGTTTAATTGCTCTAGCAAGAATTTTCAATACAGTGTTGGACAGAAGTGGCAGAAACAAAAGTCTTTGCCTTTTTTACTGGTCATTAGGGCAAAACATTTAGTATTTCATCATTAAATATTTATATGTGGGATTTTTTAGATGCCTTTTTAAGTCAAGGAAATTTGCCTTGTGTTTATTTTGTGAAGTGCTTTCATAATGAAAACATTTAGATTTTGTCAAATGCTTTTCTGTATCTATTAAGGTGATGATATTGTTTTGACCTTTATTTTGCTGATACCATGTATTATACTTGTTGATTTTTTTTGGACATTATAACAACTTAAGTTTCCTGGAATGAACCCTACTTGTTTGTGGTATATAATCCTATCTATATGTTGGGTTCAATTAACTAGTAGATTTTTAAGAATTTTTAGGTCTATATTCATAAGAGATACTGGTCTATGCAAATTATTCTCTTTGGCATAACAGATTGGAGCATAACATGATATATTTTTAAGCAATATACAACCAAATACAAATACATCAAGGTTTTTTTACTCTTACCTCGACATAATCTGTATTACAGTCATTAGAACTTCCAATTTCAAAGCTAGTGAAGTTGAGAAGAACTACTTGGCCTTGAGGTTGGTGGATGATCCATCTACAGGTTCTTTCTCCAGGATACACATTAGGATGAAACGGTGAACGAATGACTCCTTCTCCAGTTAACTCACCCCCACAAGCTATAAATATAAAAATGCACAGAAATAAATACTTATTGCTTTTAATTTTATTGCATAGTCTAATTCTGCCTAAAGAAATAGTTGAATGTGACATCTTATGGAATATATTCTTGCCCCCTGAGAACATAATATTATAAAATTTCAAGAAATTAAAATGTTGTAATAAAGTAAGTTAGGTATTTAAAAATTAAGCAGAAGTTTCCTTACCAACTTGATAAACAGCTCTGAAGCTAGCCTTCTGAACAGTAGTGTCTATTTTAATCCTGATCCAGATACTATTAGTAATGGATCTAATAGGAGAAAGGATTTCATTGCCACAGACTTTTCCAAGCAATGTTTCATCATCCCAAACCTAAAGAGGAAAACAAGACAGATCTGTAATTTTAATCAGTAAAAACTATATTGGCAATGTGGGACCATTTAGAGATGAAATAATAGTAGATTCAAAGTGGACAATAATCTAGTTTGGGTAATTTTGTATTTGAAGTAGTCAATGGATCATTTTTTAGCACAATGCAGTAGATATGATAAAATCTAAAGTCAATAAGATCCCCATACAGAGACATTTTAAAGGTATCCTCCTAATAATTTCCACAATGTCAAATGAGAAATAAACCTACAATTTTAGACTGCTTTGCAAATAACAAAAAATACAAAACCTGCAAATCAAAATACAAACATTTTAGCCAAACTTGTAATCAAAATAAGTTCTTGAATGAATTGTTTTCATTATTGATTGAAAATAAGAAAGAAAGGTACATGGGCGATGAGGGTTGAGGAAAGGAGATAGAGAATCTCCAAGGGATTTATTTTATTTTATTGTACTGGGAATCAAACAGCACCTAGTGCTGGAATCAGTTTTAAAAATTGGAAACAGTACATTAAAATAAGGGCAAATAAAGTAAAAATAAAAGCAAAACTTAATAAAGTAAAAAGGTACATTCAAGAACCTTTGAAGCAGATTAGGGGGATGACGGGGACATAAAAGAGGAGTTTCTTGTAAGTCTAAAAAGAAAACACAAAACAAAAACTAATGCAAAAAATTTAAAATATTAAGGTGGTATAAATACAAATATTTTAAGAAATATTTTACATATAATTCTCTATATACTCTTTGCTAATATATTTGAATCTTTAAAATGGATCATTTCCTGAAGTTACTAAAACTATGTCAAGAAAAATAAAAACAAAATCTACATAGACATAAGCCAGAGATAAAATTGAAAACATTATCAAATACTCTCTTCTCCCAAAAAGAAAAATCCCAGAAGATGTTCTACTCAGTAAGTACTTTTTAAGAAACATAATTCCCATATAAAACTTGTTCTAAGGTACCCTCAATTATGGAACAATTCCCAACTAATTTTTCTCAGAACTCTGTTACCTAATCCCAACATAGATAATAAAAATAACTATGAACGGATTTCACTATATCAATATATATATATATATATATATATATATATATATACACATACATATATATACCTAAACAAAGTTTTAAGAAAAACGAATTCATAACCTATGGGACAGTGTTAACTTTAAACACCTTTAATCACCAAATAATGTAAGAAAAGAAAGTAATGTCATGATTTTTGGAAATTATAAATTATAAATCCAATAATATCAACTATATGACAGTTCCACAACTGCCTAAGTTTGTTAGTACTCTTATTTTTGCTTTTGTTCTTCTGTTTTGATTGGTTCAATCCTGTTGTATCTTATTAGATTTTATTATGTGTGATGGTATAAACAAATTTTTTAAGGAAAATAAGATGTTATAGTACCCATTGTTCATTTCCTGTTATTTGGTTTTGAATGTCCTGTAATGCCTTCATTCTCTTGAATGGTTTTATACTATTTTTTTATGGTTGATATTATTGTGTGTGAAGGTATGCTCAACTATTTCAAAGAAAACAGACATTATGGTAGCTACTGTTGATATTTGGTTGAGTGCTCTGCTGCTTGCATTGTTCTGTTCTGATTTGCTTTACTCTCTTCTCTTTTGTCTTATTCTCTTTAAAAAATGAAAAAATAAAAGATAAGTTTTTAGAGAGTAAAACAAAACTTTCCTTCATATAATAAGACTACCTTACCTTCACACACAATATGGACAACTATTCTGAAGAAAACAAGAGACATTATGGTAGCCACTGTTGATTTCCTGTTCTTTTCCTGAAATCCTGTGTTATTTGCATTGTGTGCTCTGCTTTGTTCTGTTTTGTTTTGGTTTGGTTTGCTTTGTTTTGTTTATTTTCTTTAAAATAAAAAAAGACTACTTATTTTAAGTCAATAGCCAGTGTCTAATAGTGTGAATGGCCATGAACACTATCTGTGGACTTGTGTTCAAATCCTATCTCTGTCACTCACAAGTGTCTGCTTTCAATAACCTTGAGCAACTCACTGTATCTAAACCTAGCTCATGTGATTCTTGAAGCAAATAGATGAAAAAGAGTGTGACTTCCTTAGTAAAATGCTTTGTAATGGAAAACACTAATTTGACAAGAGCTATTTTTATTTGTAGCATTTTTAAAGGTGACACACTGGAGGCCTCCCACCATAATCAGGAACATTTATATCAATATACATACTATCCCTGAAGAACTTGCTCATTTAGTTAACTTATCAAGGTATCATAAGTACCAGTACCTGTGCTGGTCATGGCACCATAATATAGTCACTCACTGTCTACAGGAACTTACAACAGACAAGCATAGTTTTGTTTTTAAGCATGACAAGTATGATACGCAAGACAGTACAGAGTGCTGTATCTTAACCAGTGGTTCTCAGCAGGTACCATGTGAGCATTTGGGAAATTTACAAGAGCATTTAAAAATTTCATTTGTAATTAGTATTACAACAATGGTAAGGCACTATTTCATTTAGTGATTAAGTATTGAAGACATTAGACAGCCTGAAACTAAGAGAGTCACACACAACTAGGATTCTCCTAAGTCCTGTATAATAATCATTTAGATTAACGCTTTGTTAATAAGCATAAAATCTAGCTCTATTTTACATAGCTACAAGAATTTTTCCAGTATTTTAACACATAATGAATTTTCCAGGATGACAATAGAGTATGAAAAGAATTGTTTGTTTGTTTGTTTGTTGCATTCCTGGACATCTGCCAAGAGCTGGTCACCATTTAAGAAAGGAAGGTCATCAGCTCACTTTCACATCAGCCTTCATTTGTTCACATTATATAACACTCATGGCATGTTAGGATAGAACCAGCTGACCACTTCATTGTATCTTCAGACTAGACTTTTCATATGTTGAAGTGAATGTGGTTTTTATTTTGTTGCTTTGCTTTTATTTCTCCTTAATGTTATACTTACAACTTTATAGTTTTTAATATAATGTGTTTAGTAAATTTATATCAATAATGAATTATAGTTCTGAAAAATAAAAGGGTGACATAAAAAGATCTTAACAAAAATATAAGACAGAGTGTTACAGAATACTTCCCAGCTAAAGTAATCTTCAAAATGAGGTCAAATAAAAACTATCCAGGCTGAATAGAGTAGGTAATAATAAGAAAAATTCTTTGAAGTGTAATATCCAAAGCCGGGGGGGGGAGATATTATATTTGGATGAGTTCCTCTCATCCATAACTGGTAAAAGCATAAAGTTCTGGAAGGTTTCTTATCAGTATGATCACAGGTATTCCACTTCTAATGCTCTACCCTAGAATATTCAAAGTGCAGGCAAAGTTGTGCATGGATCCACATCACAGTATTCCTGCTGTGATGAAACTGAAACTGTTATCAAGGTCCAATAAGAAGGATGATTAAATAAATAATGGTTCAGCTATATACCAAGTATTACACATACACAAAAGAAATCACATGCCTTCTGACTCAGCCACATACCAACTCCCTTCTCCAAACTTTCACATCTGTAACACAAATTTCTCATATTGAAGTAAAATTACGCTAATGTGCTCACTAACCAAACAGCAAATCCCACAAGGAAGATCCATTTTCCATATCCCCTTCAATGTTCAGCAAAAGTAAACTACAAATAGATGTTTGACAAATTCTTGCTGACTCATTAATTTTAAGGTGTGGTAAGTGTTTTCTTTAATTTTTTTAAAATGCAGACATACTACAATTCATACTAGAAAGCATGAGAAGCAGAATAAGATACCTTCTTGCTCTCTAATCCTGCAGGGTTCCATTTGCTTCTTCCAAGATAATGTTTCCATTTTCTTTATTGCCCATTAGAAGTTGACAAGAAGGAAGAAAAACAGCCAAACAGCATCAGAGTAAACTACAGTGGGCCATTCCCTGGGGCCCTGATTAATGAAACTCAAGAACTTAGCACGGAGAAAAGCAGCTGCAGTCCAAGTGTTTTAGGAGGAACTTATAGGGCTCAAGGGCCCTAAACCTAGAAGGTGCAATTGATTTTGGCTGTGTTTCTCTCTCTCTGTGGAAATGAAACCTTATTAATTCTGTAAGGCTGTATTCTCTCTGGATCCAGACATGGTTAATACCTCACCACAGTTTTGAGAGAGACACTGAAATAAAATTTACCAAGACAGTTTATCTAACGTGACCTCTTTTGCACTTAATATGATAGGACTTATAAATTTGGATGTCTTCCAAAAATATTTTATTTGTGCATATAAACTAGGATAGAGTACTTTGCTTTAATAATTATTCACTTTCTTCCTATCAGAGAACTAAACATCAGTGTTCTTTGCCTTGTGACTTGTCATGTCTTCTCACAAAGAATTAACAACTCGTGCTTCCCACTAACTGAGATTAGCCATAGGAATTGCTCTAACAGAATGTGAGTGGAAGAAATGCACCCATTTCCAAGTAGAGACTTTGGCTATCATTGCACGAGTCAATCATTTTTACTTTTCCCCCTGACAAGACTACGACCCTGGGTCCCACAATGGGAAAGACATAGGATATGACAGCAGAGTTTCTGAGCAGAACTGATGTGAATATGCCATGCTAACATAAGCAAGAAATAAACACTGGTTGTAAGTTACAGACATTTGTTGGTATAGTTTTTAATTCACCTGGTAATTGCTATTGGTTGTTTTTATTACAGCATGACTTAAGAGAAAGATGACTAGAACCAAGAGTTTCTCAGGTAGACCCAAATCCACTGTTAAAGATGCAAACAACTAAACATCTTCCCATTGCCCCCTTTCCCTGCCATCTCTAGAAAGATATTTCTGTGAACTGAAATTATTTTTGAAATGTTATTAACTGGGAAATAGTATTTAGCGTATTCTTGTGTGTTTAGCTACAGCTATATCCCAGCTTCAGCTATCAGAGGCCTTATTCTTTCCCTACCATTTAGGAATGTGTCCTTGTGAGTTATTCTGTGAGTTGCAGCCATGAGATTCTGACCAGAAGGTCCACTCTAGAGGAACAAGTACAGTCTTGCAAATCAAAAGCCACAGCTTTCCCTCAGTCAACCCTAAGGCTGTAAGTACAGGGTCTCAAAGCCTAAAAAGTAGCAAAAGGAAGTGTCTGTGAATTTGAATTCATCTGTTGACGTGAAGAAGGTGTGAGAGGGTGTGTACAGGGCTGATCTCTGGGGAGGCTGCAGAGGGAAAGAGGGCAGAAGATGGGAAAATACGGGAAAGAACAGTTCAAAGAAGACATTTTTCAGTGATTCAGCTTGCTGTGTTCTTTCATGTTCCCAATTTTTTGGTTCTTTTTCTTAAATTCAAAGTTTACTTGGGATTTGAATTTCATCATGTCTCACAGAATTTGACACATATCATCTCCTCTTTGTTATTTTCTACCAAGTCCTTCATGTCTTATTTCCTTCTAAATCCAATACTTGTTTAGGAAATAATTCACTGATTGCCAAATATGCAGGCATTTTAAATGTTTCATTAGTAATGTGCATTACATTATAAAAAGGCATACAGTTTCTACTTTATTAACTTACTGGAATTGCCATGCCACAGAAATCCAACACAAGAATGAATTTGTGATTGGGTGCTACTTGTAGAATAGGAATATTCCCTAAAATTCAGAATTCAAATTCAATATAACTTACTCCATTCTATCATATTAATTGTGTTTCTCAGTTTTTCCAGCTGTTCATTTGTATTGTTTTCCATGTCTATGGACAGGCTACCCAAGACCCTTCCTGCTTCCGCAGCAGGCGTGTGGTTCCCCTCCCCTCCCCAGCTTCCGTCTTTCCAGTTCCCCAGAGTGGGGGCAAGGGTTAGGGGCTAAAGATGAGCCAAGAAGACTTGGCGAGCTAAACATTTCTAATTATTTTCCTCCATAGCCTACCTCAAGTCTTGGTCTTAACATAGTATAGACTTATGAATTTATTATTCAAATTATAACTGCCCCCCCCGGGAATAAAAATTAAACCTTCATTATTGTCTTACATGTCCTTTACTCAGAATTCTGATATCTTGCATCACTTATGAAATATGAGTGAGAGATTATAGTTTTTAATCTGGAAAGATTCTTCTGTTACATTCATTGAACAGTTCCATACAGTTTAAAAGCTCTGTGACAAAAACAGAAGTAAAAGTTGATTTATTCTTGTACTAACAAGTACAAGACCAAATCACATCTTCCATGGACAATGTGTGTTTTTAGAGGTAGGAATTTTATTTGAGAGAGATATACAAATGTAAGAAATAGCAGGTAAATGCAGGCTTCTTATTTTAAAAAGAAAAAGAAAGACACATAATACAGACACTGGCAATACCAAATCTATTATCTTTTATAGTCAGATTTTATCCTCAAATGAACAAATGGACCTCTTTTACTGCAGAAAAATAATTCTTTTGGAACCATAAATTATTAAAGATATGCATGAGGCAATAGTATATATCTTAATCTTTATGTAAAGGCTATATTAGTATGGGAACAAAACATCTCAGACTACCTGATGAGATCATCCAGGAGTCCAGAGTGCCCCTATTCACCCTCAAAAGAATGTTCTTTCTCATTCTTTCATATCTCTCTGGAATTTCCTCAGTTTCTCATTCTTTCTAAAATCGTATGTAGTCTGCTTTCTCTCATAAATGGAGTCAATAAATGACAAAGACATTTAAATTTTCAAAGTATCTAAACCATCATAATGTCTAAAATGCCACTTTTTATTTATTTGCTTAAATATTTCATTTTTAAGTACAGCTTTTAAAAATGAAATCACTATTTTGGGGAATAATAAATAAGTCATTAGTATTTTTTAAATTTTATTCCTAATCACTTTATGTCACAATCACTGTCTGAAGAACATCCAGAGAAGTAGATATATTTGTTAAATGAATTCATTTCACTTTTCTCAATGAATGGCAATAACTGAATGATCAGAACCTTGATCTAAGTCAATATACTTATTTTAATAACATATAGATACATTGAGGCCCCGTTTTGACAATAACTAAACTTAGACCATTGTGGGATTCCACTTTTTTCCTTGTAAAATTAAGAATCAAGATTAAACATCTTTATATTATATGGAAATCCCATGCTAGTGTTTAATTTCTATAAATTGATTAGTTGTATTCCTTGAGGCCAGTCAAGGATATCATTGAAAAGTACAATCAACTTTTCAAACCACTCTATATAATCTGTCTTTCTGAGTCCTTTTATTTTTTTGCATAAACAACCAGAATTTGGTCAGAACTTTGTGGGTATATGTGAGCATGAAAATATAGTTACCTCTATAGCCAGCCATCAAAGAACTTCTGGCTGCCAGATCTGGTAAGTTCAGGGCAGCAGTTGAGAATTTGAGCTAGGACAACCTTGTATTTATATGTTTATAATTTAAAAGCTTTTTTATCATTAATTTCCTTGACTTTACCTTCATAAAGGTAAGAAGAATAGTAGGACATCTTACTGAAGTAGAAACAGAAACACCCAGATAAAGAATTATCCAAGATTCTACAATCATCCAAAGTAGAACCAAAATAAGAATTTAAATGAGTCAACTCCAATTCCATTCAGCTTACAAAACATTCAGCTCTTTTACTTAACAAAATTTAATATGCTAGTTTTATGATCTTTTTCCACAATATCTTTTCAGAAAAATACAGAGGAGTTCATGTTATATCTCACTGAAATTCAGTGAGAGTGTTCCACAAAGCCAAAGAGGAGTGACCATTCCAGACACCTTGGCAGCTCCTCAGAAGCATTAAAACCACTGTAGAGAAATCAATAGAAAGCTACCCATGATTATTAGAATTTCTCACCTCCCTGAAAAACCACTGTGCCTGGCCTCAAATTTAATCCTGTGAGCAAAGAGCCAGGTATGGAACTACGAAATTCATGAGAACTTCCTAGCTAGAGAAGACATCTCCTTTAGTCAAATTTGCACTTTTGCATTTCTGTTCTTATCAGAAACTGGTACAACTGGAACTCCTAAATTCAAATCCCTGCATCATCATTTGCCAGACATGTAATAACAGGCAAATGACTCAATGTCTCTGGGCGCCAGTTTCCTAAGTAAAATAGAAATTGTAACAGTCACTGCAAAGATGCAGTGAAATAACTTAGATAAAGCATTTGTTATCACTGGCAAGCAATAACAAGACAATAAACTTTATATACTTTATTTATTATACTATTTATTATACTATTGCCTACTACATTGTAAGCATTCTCTAATTGTAAAATGTTTTTACTGTTTCAAAGTAAAAAAGTATTGAAAAATTGTTTTATTTATATAAAAATATTTAAAATTGCCCTATAGTGTAAAATCTTAATGTACTTTATGAGAGACTTTACAAAACCTAAACTCAATAAATATACTCATTTATCTTACTATATAAAATAAAGAACAATTCTAGATTTCAAAATATATCTTGGTGTGGTGCTATGGTCAATATATTTCTTCAACAATGTCCAGATGCAAGCTAAAGTTCTGTTTCTTCTAAATGTAGGAAAGAGGTCAGTAGATTATATAGATTTTTCCTGGAAAAATATATTCACTTAACTCACACAAGTAAATAAAATTGTAAATTATTTTCTGATTTTATATAAAATATAGTCAACAAAGGGTTTTATGTCTCTTTAAATTGTGGCTTAACCAATAATTAAACAAAAGAAATATCAGACCCAACAAACACTCTAGTTTAGTTAGATAGTCCCCTATTACAACCTTTGCACATGCTTAAAGCTAAAGTATTGTAAAGGAGAATATGCAGGGATAATGAAGGAAAGAAGCCAAACCTCTAAAATAACAGCTATTCAAAGATTTTTTTGTTTTTGTTTTTGTTTTTTTGGTACTGGTGATTGAACTCACAACCATGCACTTGGAAGGCAGGCACTTTTGCTGCTGAGCTAAATCCCCAGGCCCTTTTCAAAGATTTTAATGTAACTCTCTGTGCAACTAATAGCTGGGTTAACATGACATATCCCTTTGCTTCTCTGGGTTGAATACTCTTGCATGTAAGATTATCCTAGATAACCTATGAAATCTTATTCCTATTAGTAAATCATAGTTAACTTTACTTATTTGCATGTACTATAGTGATTAGAGCTCAGTTTGTAGTGTACTGTAGCGCTGTAATGAGATTCTAGTCTCAGCTTTCCTTTTGTCTATGCTGATTCCATTACCAGCACCCTACGTTACCACTTGTTCTCTAGAATAGTTGTTCTCAGAGGAAGACTGCATCAGAATGACTTAGTGGCTTCTGACCTCCACGGTGCTGATTGGGTGGGTCTGGAATGGGTGTAAAATGGCATTTCGAATGCCATCTCTGGTGATTGGATGCTGTGAGACCCTTACTCAACCTACAGCATATGTAGAGGTTTGATGAGTATCATCTGAGGGCAGCTGAGAATAAAGGAGCAAATTTACCTCAATGTAACTGTGGGAGCAGCCCCTCTGGCCTTCCAGTTCCACGTGCGTGAAGTTGAGGTCTATTAGCTCTCCCTGAGGCTGCTCTATGATATAGATGCATTGCCGATTGTGAGCCAAAGGCTCAGGCAAGTTGGGAAGAAGCAGCTCACCCTCTGGGTCTGTGTAGTTCCCTCCACAATGCAAATCCGCTACAGGCAAAGGGAAGAAGAGAAAAGGAAGGGTTATGTGACACAGCTTCTGAAATTGGCACACACATACACACAGTCATATTCTCACTTTATCAATCCTATTCAGGTTAGGCCTCTATTACAAGACTTCCCATTTGATATATTTGCACTCTGTCCCTGGACTATCTGAAGTAATAGTGATGTGTGATCAGAATTTACTGTACCATTCTTCTCTATAAATTGTTTTTTAAATGCATGAATGATCTGCTTCACTTGAGAAAGATTTAAGGCATTTTATGAAATAATGTAAAAAATATATAACTAAACGTGAAGCAGATTAAAGAATAAATAAATAAATACAGAATAGCAACACATGGGCAAAGTAAGGTTGATGAGCATAAACAATAGTTGTAAGGGCCACGGGAATTATAGGTCAGCTATAGATTGAGACTGATGTCAAAGTAAAGGACAAGAGACCAATGAAGATGTGCATTATTGCTTTTCCTGATACTGAGCTTCAACAGATATTTTCCCTTTGAATTCTTGTCATGAACACAATGACAGATGTGACGAACAAAATTCACTCCATCCCTAAAATGAAAATTACAGAGTATTTCATTTGTTTTGTTGTTTAAAATACCAATGCAAGATAAAGACTAGATAGCTAGTAACAGTTCATTGAAGTGAAACTCCAGAGGCCAGGACACTGCAACCCTAGAAACTAGATAGCTAGTAACAGTTCATTGAAGTGAAACTCCAGAGGCCAGGACACTGCAACCCTAGTTTCTATGTGGATGGACTTAATCCAAAGACAAAATAAGACACATCTCTAAACAGACTGCATTGTTCATGTGAATAACCTACCACACAACAAAACATCAAACAGTGAGGTTCTGAATGATTGAATTTTAGGCTTCATACATTTCCACCATGATGTGATCTCCATAGTTTTGAAACCAGGGGGCACTAATGTATGAATAATAAAACACTAAGAAGATAAAGAATCAGAAGTTGTGGGAGAAATATCTGCAAAGGTGCGCTATTAGTCAAAGTCATCTTTCAGATCTGTTAAAATACCAAACAGCAGTAAGCATAGCGCTGTCCTTCAATTGCATATTGAGCCACCCACTGGCAAGTTACTTACAAGGTGATGTTAGATAGGTGATGTGGAAGCCACGATCACTGATCTGGTTGTCAGAGTGAAAATGAATTCTGGCAAAGGGACCTGTAGTCTGAAGTGGTGGGGCAGAGCGAGTGGTACAGAATTTCTCAAGGATAGTGTCCTGATGTAAAGGACCATCTCGGATCTAAAATAAAAGAGTGAATTATAAATGTCAAACAAGTCCAGTTTTAAAAAGCAGGTCATTTTAGACATTCACTTGAGAAAAATATGTCATTTAATAATGATGGCTCTAAAGAGTTTCCTGATCACACATATAGTTAGTATACATTTGGGGTTCCAAAAGGGTGTCTTTCCATCATCCAAATGTTTTATCTTCTATCTGAATTTCAATTCTGAGACCAAACATATTTTAGTATTTCTCTCATGATGCTACTAATCTGAGTGTTTCCTTGCATAGGTTTCCTTTACCCCAGATATTTGTTTTAAGATAAACTTCTACTGATATAGAAAAAGAAAATGAATAAAGGAAAAGAAAATAGAAGGAATACTATTGATGTCAACTGATTCACAATGTGGCTTAGGTATTTAGGAGGGGAGCAGGTGGGAATGAGTGCTGTCTTTTTAGATACAGCATAAGTGATGGTTCGATGAATGTAATAAATTTTAAAATATAACTTATTAACTCTGAAGTACCACAATGCTGATATTGTGATCCTAGAAACTTTCTAGTTATTGGTCTTTAATATACTAAATAATCATGGTAACCTCTCTGTAATTCTGTTGTAATTGCAAAATCTGTATCACATTGATCGAGATCACTTATGAAGCATCTCTGAGCAGGATTTAAAATTAACCCACTGGCTTTCCATGTTTACTGTGAGTCTGTCCAAGGCCTAGGCTCCTTGTCTGGAAACAAGCAGTGGGATTCATAGTAAGTGAACCTCTATGAAGCACTGGTCCCAGCAGAGGCATGTAGTAGCCTATGATGCCATGAAGCCTCAAAGGAGAAGACAAGTCCACAGTGAGGACAGCTGGCTACCACCCAAAATAACTAAAGACTGTAGCTGCAGGCATCTCACTGCTATCGTGAATGTCAACTTGGAGATAAGTCAGCATAATTTACTACTTGGAGAAGTCTTTGAACTGACTCCCAAGGTCCTGCTGAGTCCCAGTGCTATCTACCTTAACCCTTTGCCTTGTTTGAAAATCAAATAAATACAGGATGCCCAGAGAAGTTCTTTGTCAGAGCCCCCAGAAAATCTCAAATTCTGCTAGAGGATTTTGATCCTCCTGGAGCCCTCAAATCATGTCACTTATCTCTTTTATTTAAACCTTTACAGTCTACTTGTTTGGGAGATGTGGGCCTGGTCAGTATATGGTATCACACAGAACACCAAGAGGAATATTTTAATATAGGCAATTTTATCCATTCAAATTATTTTTTCTCTTGAACAAACTGACATGGCAACATTACTTTATTTGTATATTTAGTTCCTTGAAATATTGTAGCTATTTAGACATTTAAATATTGTATAGTGAAAATATTTAAGTACTGTCAGAATGACTGATACCTTCTACTATAAAGCATGCAGAAATTAATATGTAGGAGTAAAAGTCCTCTAATTTTAACTTAATGGAACTTATCAAATATTAATTTCAAGGTAACTCACTTTTTACAGTCAACATTTGAAATGTTCTTTTTCTAAATTTTCCAAGGAGAGGAAGATCCTCCAGTCATTCCCAAAGGTTTCAAATCCATTCTTACAACTGCTAAATTACTAATGACTTCAACTTGTAGAGACCCCATTTGACAGCTGCATCCTTCCATGCTTTATGAATAATTCCGCAGCACTCCAGTCTTCTCTAATGCATTTGGAAAAGCTTGCTGTCTTTTTAGCATTATTGCAAGCGGCACTGAGATTTATGATGATAAAAATACAGGCATAACCTAAGAACTCAATCTCCTCAATATCTTTCCAGTAGAAAAATGAAGAGCAGCATTTTATATCCCTATATGCAGGTGGTATTTGAGCACAATTACAGCATTTTCTTCTTTTGTATTTTAATATTTTACAAATGGAAGAAGGGAGTAACTCAGGTTGACTTCTCTCCTCCCAATGATAATTTTCAATACTTTCAATTGATTCATCACTTAGCAACTCATTTCAGCACAATCACTATCAATTTATTTTTCTACATAGCTACAGTCAAGTTGTGAAACATTCTGCTGGTTTCTCACAGATAACTGAAGGTTTGGCTCTGCAAAACTTGGTGTTTAGGGGGCTGGGGATTTAGCTCAGCGGCATAAGCGCCTGCCTTGCAAGCAGGCTGTCGTGAGTTTGATCCCTGGTACCGATAAAAATGAAAAAGACCAAAAAAAAAAAAAAAAAAAACTTGGTGTTTATTGTGAATCCTGCTATCTCTCCTCCAGGGCCCTGGGCTGCCAGGAAAGAACAAGGAAAGGTAAGGCAGTCTGTTTCTAGATTCAAGCTGAACCCAAAAGAAACAGCAAAAAGCCAGCATAATTCAGAATAAAGGCTTAGCAAGACTTACATTTAATGCCTATTGATAAACATATTGAACTGCCGCTAATAAACTGGGGTTATCCACGGGCATCACCAAATTATAGTGCTGTGAATCCTAATCATATCATTATAATGATAATAATCATAATCATAATAATCATAACTTCTATCTCAATATAATTGTTTACCTCCAGATAATCTTTGCTACAATCTTCATGGTTCTCCAGGCTCAAAGTCCCAAAAGTAAATGTTAGCAGAAGTCCAGGGCTGGTTATAATGTGCCATACACAATCTCTTCCTGGGGGGTAGTTTCCAGGATACCCCGGAGACTGGATAGAGCCGTAGGTACCAGTCAGTCTACCTCCACACTCTAAAATAACATGGAGAAATAACTTTACATTTGTATTCAAGATGTAATTCACCTAGAATTATCATAACTCCTACAGGAAGTGAAACTTCGTTTAAATGACTATGAACTCTTTTAGATAACCTCCCAAAGTAAATGAGACTTTCAGCTTTCTAGTTTCATAAAGTTATAAATCTAGACGTATCAACTGATAATCACCCATGGGTGAACTCTGTGTTTAGGGGCAATTGCCCAAAGGAGATGCAATTCTAAATACAGTGCTAAAATATGTGTGGGATGGATAATGGGAATATGGAATGATTTTCTCCACACTGAATAGATTAATGTCTGTATATCAGCTCCTACGTCATTCAACGGACCATATATATATATATATATATAGTTTGTTTTTTTGCCAGGCAGGTGCTTATGCCACTGAGCTAAATCCCCAGCCCCTACATTTTATATTTTAAAACAGCTAAGCAGTACATAATTTTCATTTGAGAAGATTCTTTAGCAGTATATCTAGGTAGAACACTTAGTTTATTTGACCATAATAAACATTAGAAAAAATAAGGTGACAGGACACAAGAGTTAGGAAACTATGAAGATTAGTCAGATAAAAACTTGCTACCAATGCAGAAAACTAAACAAATTCATTACACTGTTCTCATTATTCTTAATGAGAAAAAGTTAAATATACACTTTCCAAATTTTAATACTTAAAAAAACTACCAGGTGAGTAAAATTTTAGACACATAAAATACTATAAGTAAAATATTAATAATAAAATGAAAAAGTACAATCTATAGCAAAAAGTTAGTACCCTGATATATTAAGCATTTTGGAAAAGAACACAAAAGCAAAGAGAATATACACAGAAAAAATTCAAATGTCCCTTATACATATACAAAAATGTATAAGGAAAATGTGAAAAAATAAAACCTTCACTAAGATGCCATTTCTTCCCTCTCCAAATGATAAAAATCTGAATTTTCAAAAATAAATTATTGATGAAACTGTAAAGAAATTGACACTTTTAAACTGCTAATGAGAATGCAATAAGATATAATGACTTTAGGAGAGAATATGGCAATATCCAACAAAACCTTATGAACTTTTTTGGCCAATCCTATCTTTAGAAATATATCCCAAAGTCACACCTGACAAAATATAGTAAGACAAATGTACAAGATATTTCATTGTAGTAAAATTTAGAATTCCAAAAGACTAGAAATAAGTCAACACCCATTAACAGCAATGGAGAGCTGGGGATTTAGCTCAATGGTATAAGTGCCTGCCTTGCAACCATGAAGTTCTGAGTTTGATCTCTGGTACCAAAAAAAAAAAACAAAAAACAAAAAAAAGCACTGAAAACATCTACATAATGCATTATTATATTCTAGTTATGGTGTAAGAACAGGATGCCTCAAGTAAAAATGCAAAATATACACCAGTGTATGTGGTATGCTACCTTTTATCTAAGAAAGGAAAACATGATCACATGCAATTATTTGCTTAAACAAAGGGATAAGCTTTTTAAAGAAGGGATAAACCCAAAACTAAGTTACATTTCTCAAAATCTACCATGTATATTGATTCGACTTTGGAATTATGAATATTTTACACAATTCTAAAGAAAATTTAATAAAAATGAAGAAATCTCTAAAATTATAAGCAAAACAAGTCAATGAAGTAACTTCATGGAACTGACAACCATGAAGAGTAAGAATTAGACTTTAAAGCACTATAATTTGACAATATGACCAAGCAAAGAACAATCAAATGAATAAAAGAATAGTATAAAAGAACAGCAATGAAATGAAATATTAAATGGTTTCCAATTAGCACAGTACTAGTAATATTACTGGTATTATTTTACACATGAGTAGGATTAAACATACAGGTAATATATTAATGTCAGTGAGAACCAGGACTGTTACTGTATGATAACAGAAACTCAAATATAAAATAGAAACAATATGTTAAAAATCGCTATGAATACATGAATATTTTCCCCTTAAAAATAGGAAATGTACTTTGTATTTTTTATCTAGACATGGACCAACCTATTAACAACAGCCATCCTTAGCATCCAAAATGTGGGATCTGACTATCATGCACCTTTGAAAGAGTAAGAGCTATTCAGAGAAAAGGTGGTCCCATTATTGAGATAGTAAATGTGTAGGAAGGGCTAGTACATCATCTCAAACTTGAAGCCTACTCTAATTTTGAGCATATAGCCAAAGGAAATGAAATTACCATCTGGAAGAGACACCTACGTTTGTACATTCATTGCCGCATTATTTATCACAGTCAAGATATGGAGAGTCAACCTAACTGTTCACTGATGGATGAAAGGAAAAAATGTATTCCACACACAATGGAAAATATTTGGTCTTTAAAAAGGAGGAAATTCTGTGATTTATGACAACATAGATGAATCCAGAGGATTTTTTTTTTTTCGGTACTGGGAATTGAACCCAGGATATTTGAACCATTATACACAACATATCCAACACTTTTTATTTTGAGATAAGGTCTTTTTGAATTGACCATGCTGGTCTCAAACTTGCAATCCTTCTGCCTCCACTTCAGGATTATCTGGGATTACAGGTATGTGTAACTGCACCTGGATGAACCTAGATAATAGTATTGTAAGTGAAATAAGCCAAACAAGAAAAAAACAATAGTACATGATCTTCCTTATATGTGAAATCTAAAAAATATCAGACTCATAGAAGCAAGGAATACAATGGTAGTTTCCAAGATCTAAATGCCAGACAAAACAGGGAGATGTTGATCAAAAGTACATTTAAATTTTGAACACCTGATGTTGATCAAAAGTACATTTAAATTTTGAACACCTTCCACACAGCACAGCATGTATTGAAGTATAGATAAGTATCGGTAATATTGAATAATGTACTTAGAAATTATTAAAAGAGTAAATCTTAAATGTTCCTGCTACACACACACACACACACACACAAAATGGCTACTGTATAAGATGACAGATGTATCAATTGCTCTAGCTTGATTTGGGTAATCACCTCACAATATATCAATGTGTCAAAATATTGTATTGTATACCCTGAATACAATATGTGTCTATTAAACCTTAATAAATAAGGTTGGAAAAGTAAATACTGGAAATCTGGAAAAAATAAAAATAAAATAAATAGAGCAAAATGTGTTACAACGCAAGTATATAAATCTCTAATCCTAACGAAATTTTAATACATTTCTTCCATGAATTGAAAAAACATTTAAGTCACTAAAAATTAATATTTGAACAAAACTATGGCTCAAATAAATTAAGTTGGCACATATACATAATTCTATCCAATCACTGCAGAGTATGTATCATTACATAAAGCAAATCTCAACAAATTTCAAGAGACTGAAATAATGCACTATGTGCCTAATGACTACATTGGTAATTAATCAATATACTCTTTCAAAGAAACACCCTTAGAATGAAACTCATGCTCAGAAACCAGATTAAAGTGAGAAAATGTTTCAAGCTTTATTGCACACATTAGAAAAATAAAATGGTGATATCATTTACCAATGCATCTAAGCCAAGAAACTGAGAAAACCTTAAAATCAATAGTAAGGTGTGCCCCCAAAAAGATAAGGGAAGGAAATTATAAAACCAAGAGCAAAATAAAATAAAAATCAACAGAAATTATAGAAAAGGCTAATAGTTTGCATTAATACCCTCCCAGTAAGGTTAATCAGGGAAAAAGAAACATAAATTATTTATATCAGGAATAAGAAAACATCACTAAAGATCCAAAACACACTAAAGGATAGCAAGAAAATATTATGAAAGAGTAGATAAAACAGATGAGTTTCTTGAGAAAAATATTACCAAAAGTAAGAAAAATTAAAAATCTGAATAGATATGTATATGCCCAATAAGTTCAACTAATAAGTTAAAAATTTTCTCACAAAGAAAATTTTAGGCTCAGCAAATTTTAAGGTAAATTCTTTCAAATGTTTAAGGAATGAAGAAGTCTTGCTAATCTATATAAATGCTTTCAGGCTAATCTATACAAATCAAAAAGAAACAATACACCAGTTAATTTTAAAGTGTCAATATTACAAGTTGATGAAGAAATTACAAGGTAACTAGTTGACCAATATTTCCCAAATATAGATTCAAATTTCTGAAAAATTGATCAGAAACTCAAGCCTAGCAATGTATAAAAAGAATAACATCATGAACGAGTAGAAAACTTTTGAAAAATGCAGTTGATTCAACATTCAAAATTGGGAGATCATCAAGGTAGGCTAAATGGCTTCAGTGATTACAAGACACTTGGAAGAGATTCACCAAAATACTCAGATATAAATTAGAGGGCAAACAAAAACCCAGCTAAGGGAAGGAAACTTAAAGGAGAAGCTCATAAAGCGAAATCCGTAACAGAGGTGTTCAGACTAAGAAAAAGAGCTGTTTCTTGATCCTATCAGTGCTTGTATCCAAAGTCCAAAGAACGTACTCTCTTAGGAAGAGTTCAAATCTTGTCTTGGGAAAGATTTAAACAGAGTCCAGTGGCTGGAAGGCTGCCACCTGTCACCAAGACCAGTCCTGGGGACATAAAAGAGCTTAGGGCATACTCCTGAAAGAGTGACATTCCAGTGAACAATCTCATGGGCTTGCAGTGGCTGTGACCAAAATTTGAGAGAGATGAAGGACACTGGAGCAGAAACAAGAAGGGCATTCACTTACTGTCCTCCAAATGCCATTGGAGGAATGGTATCCTAATTTTCAGATGAGATATACTTCAAGCTAACGTGTATCCAAAGCAACAAAGGAGGTCACTACACATCAGTAAAGGAAATAACACAAGGGTAAAGAAAGAGCTAACGGTTGTAAATATGGATGCAGCAAATGTCAGCACATTCAATTTCCTAAAATAAAATTATTGATATAAAAAGACAGATAAGGCCAACACAATTAGACTGAGGGACTTTAATAACCCATTCTCACAAGTCAACCAAATAAAAATTCAAAA